AATGTGCCAATTCCTCCTGGGGAGAAAAGGCTGGACTTCTGAAACCCATTGCCTGCCTTTCTACCCACGTCTCTGGAGATTTCGGTGAAACGTTGGGTTGCTCGGTGGGGGGGCTGCCCACAGGACCTGTAGCTCGCTGCAGGAGTGGCTCTGCTTCGGGCAGGGACAGGAGTGGAAAGGCCGATGCTGCAGCAAAGGGTGGTGCCGTGCGTTGCCCAAATGGCCTGGGGAGGAGAGGCAGGGTCGGAGAGACGCTGCGCCAATCCCGGCTAAGTGGCACCCAGATGGTTTATGCTACAGTAATTCCCCCCTTTGTCTGACCTACTCCTGCACACACTGAAAAGCAAAAGTGTTTCCTGGAGGGCTGAAGGGCCTCTCCCCACTTTCCATTAGTGTTTTTGCTCTTGCTTTTCTGCAGCTGCCTTTGCAGGCTGCCCTTTGTCTGCCTTTTGGATTCTTTGAATTTACTTGGACTGTACGTCTATTTTCCCCATAAGAAAACCCAGCAAACTCATCAAGCAGCCTTCCCCGGTGCTGCTGCATGATGTTGCAGGGACCCAGGGCTTGTGGGTATGCAGTGATGTGGGAGCAGAGGAGCTGTGCCCCTCTCCCGAGAACCAGCCCCACTCAACAGTCTTTCAGCCCGTAGTCCATGAGGTGCTGAAGCAAAGCATTTCCTAAGCTAGCCTGCCCTGGTTTTGCCAGCCTTCCTGTGTCTGCATCCCTTTTTCTGGGGACAGTCTTGCACTCTCAAAGGCTTTTGACTCAGAGGGGCTTATGACAGAATTACAGAAAGAAAATAATATGTAAAACCTGTTCTGGCTGGTGTTATTTTTTGCTTCTTTCTGAAACAGCTTTATTTTAAATGCCCTTTCAGCCAGAGCACTTAGTGGCAAAGTTTTGAAGGGTGTTTTTGTTCTGTGTGCTGTAGTATGATTTTTCAGTGAAAAGCAAAAAACCTGTCAGCTCTCCCTGGGTGTCTGGTGTTAGGAGGGACAAAGGCGTTTTCTTGGAAAATGCATCATTCTTCTGTAGAATTGGTACGATGTCTTTGAGAATAGGAGTACAGTAGTTACTTTGAGTGCAGGTCCCTTCGTTAATTATTTGACATCTGTCTTGGGTTTTATAATCATTTGGAAAATGCTTAGGCTTTGCAGGGTCCATGCTGCTAAAGGCAGGAGTGAACTAAGCCTATTTGGGAAGGCTGTTTTCTATGATAATATTAATGTTCTGGTTTTTTTTCTTGAACATAAAGGCTGCTTCTGGCCAGTATCAAATGAAAAAAACAAACCTTTCCACCACCTCTGCTTTTAAGAACAGGAGACACCTCCATGACTGTGTCCCCCTCTACCCTGCTTTTATTTGCTCCCCAGTAGACAGAAGGTGGAAGCTTGAAGAAAATGCTTACCTATGAGAAGGGAACACTTTCTGATTTGAAACAAAATGAACACTTCAAGTAAGTTCCTTAAAAAATAATAATAATTCTAGCAACAGCAGTGATGGATCGTTTTCTCTAACCACTCTATGAATTATTATTATTAAAATGTTAATTTATGGAGACATTAAGAGCACCTCGGAGTATATTGGTCTTGTGAGACGTTCCTGGAAGTGCTGAGGATGTATTGGAGCTCTCCAGCCATCTTCTGCCTGCTCTGGTTGCCTGCTTTCTAGCTGTGGTGTGAATTCTGAGCTGGTACGCTCTTCTGCTCACGGGTTTTATTCCTGGCTCCCTCCAGCGTTTACTTTTTGTTTCACTTGCTTGTGTACTAAAGGTGAGGTCTGTGGCCTTTTGGGCGGACACAGTTGGGGAACCCCTCTGCTGCAGCCTGGGGTTTGCACTCTCTGACGTCTGGCTCCTTGGGTTGCAGCCGGAGATGCTGGTGTTTCGGGGGAGAGGTACCAAATTGTGCAAGCAGTTGATTACAGGCAGCTGGAATTGCCTCACATACAGGCAGAATGGCAACATGCTTTCTGATGTCACGAAACAAAGCAGCAGGTTGCTGGAAAAGGCTGAGAAAACTCTTCTGTGTCTGGGAAGACCCGGGTGGGTTGCAGTCCTGGGGCGTTGGGTTCTTACAGCATTGCAAAACCCCCCCTCTCTCTGCCACTGACTGGGTGCAATGGCATCACGGGTGGAACCATGTTATCCTTCCCAAAATGGAAGGGGATGATGATGTCGCATGACCACGGGACTGCTGTGGGAAGACCTTTCTTTTAGGGGTGTATCACAGATTTCAGGCTGTTTATAGCAAAGCATCACAGTCCTAGCAGCACCGGTACACAAGAGCTGGTCCCTGCACTGCATTAGTAGCACAAACCATCAGATGCTGTGGTATCAGTTGAGTTTTTTCTATTTTTTTAAATAACCACATGCCACAGGAACGGAGCTGACTGTAGAAGCCATCCTGCCCTACAGTCCTCTTTATCTTCTTCGCTCGGTGTGTGAGCTCTCCATTTCTTTCCTAAGGGGGCAGAATCCTCTCCCTTCATCTCAGCTGGCATATTCTGGTGTGGTCAGGACATCCAGGATGCTGTGATGCCTCCCCACAGCCAGTGACTCCATGCACGTGCCTTCCATGGGCCCTTGTGTTTTATGCAGTGTGAGAGCAGCCAGGACTGTGGTCAACTGAGCCCCGTTCCCATAATGGAGAAATTGCTGTAATCTGACAGGCTCTGTGTCCATCTGTCTCCACTGATAAGGTCTCTGGGGAGCCTGGAATGAACCAGAAGTAAATCACACTGTGCAGGGATGCTTCTTACTTGCTTTAGCTATAAAATCCGAATTTTCCTCCTAGCAGGCAGAACACGGAAATCTTAGATACCTTGCTTGTGGGAACAGAGACCTGGTGGTTCTTTGAGATAGTTGAAAGGAGCATGTTCCTATGAGCATAGTTAATGGATGTAAATATTAGCTCACTGCAGGGTTCATGTATCACTGAGTGAAACCTAGTAGTTTATTTTGGCCTCGGGCCACATAAATGGCCTTGCTGTAAACGAGGGAAACTCATCCAAAGTCAGTAGTTGTTCCTGCTTGCTTCGGGGCTGAATTCAGGCTGATTTGTGCAAAATGCAGGAGAGAATCATTGGAAAATAAGGGTGAGTTAGGACACACTGTGCATTTATCTAATGACAAATGTGAGGGAACCTTTATTGTGGGAATGATCCCCCCCCACTGTTTACACTCCCTGGCTTCCAGCATCTGAATTCCAACAAGTTCCTAAATTCCCCCCAAAAGTGCAACACATTGGTTCTGTATGTCCATTCTGATGGCATATAGATGTTTTATCTTTCTCCAGCATTTCCAGAAGGGAGGAGTACTTAATTTTGTTTCTTCCCTATGGAGTCAAGTGACATTGCGAGCTGGTTGTAGGCGGCAGTAGAGGAGGATTTGATTAGCAGCTGGCATTTTAGTTTGGATGAAGGAGGTAACATATAACCAGCCCTCTCAGCTGGACCCCAGGGAAGAAAATTCACCTTCTTCCCAGCTCCCCTTCTCTTTCTGAAGGCCTTATGGCTTCTAAAGCAGTCTGCAGTCCTTTGCATGGACCGTGCAGGGAAGAGCAGGCTTACTCTGGATTTCCTTTGTCTTTTTTGAGATGAGCCCAGCAGAGGGAAAGCATCATACAAAGGCTTTTCAGATGCAGGCATTGAAAAGGAAGGATTCAATATCCGCTGCTGGATTTTGAGTAGTGCAGTTCACACATCCCGTTCTTGTTAATCTCTGCAATCTGTGCAATTTTAGGTGCTCTCTGCTTATGCTTGGAGCCCTTCCGCTGTCTGTGTATATTATGGACGGGTTTATGAGGGACATGTTTAAGGGAGCTCTGTGGCTTCTCTCCCCACCCTTTTAGCCCACCCTGATGGAGCAGGTTTCCCTGTCATCTCACGAGCGTGCTCCTGACAGTATCACCATGCTCATTACCGCGTCTGCCCGGCAGAGCTGAGATGCTTTGATGAAGTTCAGCCTTTTAACCATCTCTTCTCCCTCTGTGATCTGACAGCACCCAGGAATATCAAATGCAACCTTCGGCCCATTAATGAGAGCATCTAGTAAATGTCAGCTTTCGTGACTACCAGTTTATAAGTTGCATCCTGGAAAACCTAGAAACACAGGGAAATTTAATTCTAGTGCGTGAGCAGTTCTGAGAGCTGAATGCCAGGTACTGGGACAGGCAGCCAGTGAAACTTTGTGTACATTTACAGTGCACGTTTATCTCAAATTACAGGATATTGTGCTCTGCAGCAGGAATAGAGAAGTCTAGGATTGTTTTCTGCCTATCAGCGCTGCTTTGAAAGTATAAACCTTCGTTAAGATCATTTCCAAAAAGTGTACAGACCTGGCACTTATTTACTCCTGTGAGGTGGCTGTTCCAAGGAGGGTTTGACTGGAAAAAGCTGGAGCCTTGTCCTGCCTTGACCTGCCTGCAGGAATGGGGTGAAGCAGTCCAGACTGGCAGCCGGCCTCTTCGCAGGTCACCAGCCGGCAGACCCTGCAAATTTGGACTGCTCTGGCATGGTTGTCACGCCAAACTCTGATGCGTGTTCAGTGTAAATGTGCTTCAGCCACCTCTTACCATGGCCAGTGCCTTCTGCACTCCTTCTTAGAAACAGGCATGTGCACTGGCAGAATGACATCTTGGCAAAGGACCTTTTGTTTTTTTGGGAGTCAAAGCTTGGGATTTCTAGCCTACAAGCATCTACCTTACTCCTTGTGCTCAGGGACATAGACTATTCCAATGGCTTAAGTCAATGAGCTTGGTTGTCGTCTTCTGAGCCGTCATCTCCCAGGCTAAGAGAGTTCATGCAGCTGCCTGCAGGCAGGACAATGCTGCCATACAGATGCTTTTCTTAAGGAATCTTAATGAAATGAAAAAAGAACATACCAGAATCATTGGGTGGGCAGAGGAATAAACACATATACTCAGAGTTAAAAAAAGTTGCCTGCAGTGATGAAATATTGTAAAATAACCAAAAGCTCTGTGTGTGCTTTGTCTCAACAGGATGAAGATGGTGGGTGCCCTGATGGTTACGCTCTGGCTGTGCATGGTCACCCTCGGCAGCGGCTCTGGTAAGGATGTGGCACACGATGGGTCTGCCCACTTTTCATGGGAAGAGCTGATCTGAAGACAGAGAAAACTGGCTGCAGTGATTATTTTTATTTTTTTTTAAGCATTTACAGTATTCCCAGGTGAAATGGTCGTGAGTAAAATACTTCAGTGAAATGCATGGACACGATGTCAGTTCTGTGTGGGTATTGTATAATGTTCATATCTAGAGGCTACGAGCATGGTGTAAACCTCTGCGGAGGCAAATAGTAATAAGCAGCATCTCATCCTGAATGTGCTTTGTAAATTCAAGCTGCCCACTTGGTCAGTATTGTTATCCCCCTTCTGCCAGGGGCGAAACCATGGCTCGGCACATGGGGCTGGCTTGTCATTGAGTTGCAAGAGGGACCTGGGCTTGAACCTGAACTCTGCTATTCCTGGTTGGATCTGGAAGGGGTTGAAATTCTGGTGCTCGGATTCTGACTCATGCCTCAGCAACGCAAGGGGAGAGGGGAACTTCTCGAGTAAGAGGAGCTCTCATACCCGTCTCACTGAGTCACTTTCCTGACAGGAAATATGTTGTCATGCTCGCAGCTCCTCTGGCACACGTTCAGCCCAGCTCTTGTGAAGAGGCAGATTGTGTGCGTCTCGGCTCCGGACTTCCTATTTGGGGGTGGAAAGAGACAGCATGATTTGCAGGAGGCGAGTGAAAAGGGGGAGGGAGGAAAGAACAAGCTCTGGCTTTATAGGGGGAAATGTTCAGAAATAAGGGCCGTGCAGGGGGTTGAGCGAGTCCCTCCATGAGCCCTTGCTCCTCTGCAGTGCTGGCAAAAAAGCACTTATAATACTCTGTACAGATGAACAGCTCTTGTATCATTGTCTCTTGGACCATGCTGAGTTTTTGGGGCCAGATTGACAACATGCACATCAGCAAGGTTCATCTCAGTGCAGGGCTTATCGTAGAGGCTGAAGGCTTGGGAGGCTTTTCTCCTTGGGTTACCCAAGGGCTGCAGGCATTCACAGTAGGGTGTAGCCTTCACTAGGGGATGTCCCATCCTGGTTAATGGAGGCCTGGTGGAACTGGTAAGCAAAGGAGAAAGCCAAGGAGATCTGGGCCACGTATCCTAAGCCCAAGGTGGTAGGAGTGCCTGGGGAAGGAGGGACCCAGTGGCACAGGTTACTGCTGCTCGCTGGGAAAATCCCTGCTTTGCGTGCGCTTCTGGACATGCTGTTCTGCTCTCCACCGACGCAATATCCTCCTCCTGCTGAGGCAGCATTGCAACACCCCACGTGCAGTCATCTTGGGCTTTTTCAGAAATAGGAGGGAGGTGCAATTGAATCAGGATTGCCCAGGAAATGTTAAAGCAACTCTAAAAGCTGAGGCTGCCAGCTGGGAGCTGTGAAATGAGCGCCCTGGCGTTTGGGTCACACTGGCTCCTGCCAATTGGTCTGGCAGAACTCTCCGTGCATTTCTGCGAGGTATTTAGTGCTTTTTAAATATTCCTCCTTTAGCAGAGGTTTTCTGTACAGGGTGGTTAAAGCCCTTGTAGAGTGCTGCAAGAATATAAGTGTCAAAGGGTGATCTATGGGACCCATGATCAGTTAAAATATATTTCTTCTGCAAATCCACTGTAGTGTATGCATTTAATTTTCTGCAGGTCCATGGGTGACAGACCCACTCTTCAGTTCAGAGCTCCCTTTTTGTTTCATGGACATCATAAACCACTTTGGGCTGTCAAAATGTCGTTTGTTATTTATGACGGGCTTGGATGGCTGTTTGTACTTGGATGGAGGGGCAGCCGTCTGTGCAGCCCTCTGTTACACTGCGGGGTTTCCTGGGACTGGCACCAGAAGGCAACTGGAGCTCCTTTCGCCCTTGCAAAGTCATAAATACAGAGCAGTGTGGGAGACCGGACATGCTCTGATAATGTTACAGCATTTGGGCTTGCTATTTTTCCCTGGAGCGGGGAGCACTAGGTGGGGGGAGCAGAGCAGAGGTTATCTGACGTGGATGCAGAAGGGCTGTGCCCCAGTGGTCTCCTAACCCCAAGCGAGGCCACGGAGATGGGTAGCTCTCACTGGGGAACCTGGCTCCTGGAATATTTAAGATGTGTAACTTGGTAGGGATTTGTCATTTCAGCTAGATCTCTTCCTGTGCTTTGCTGTAACAGCCATGTAATGCTGTATTGTTGGGACCAGCGCTCCCTCCAGCCCAGGCTGGCAGGGGGCTGGGGGAAGCTGGAGGCAGGAATCCTGTTGTGGTTTGCTACCACTTCTCCTGCCTGATTCTGCAGCCCTTCCCAAGGGAGCAGAGTGGTCAACAACACTGACTGGGGGCTGCCCGGCTCTACTGAGTCCCGAGCTCTCTGAGCTTAGAGGGGATGAGGAGCCAACATTTATTAAATTTCAGCTATAAAACACCAGCACCACTCCGGCTGTAATGCAGACAGCCTTTCCATCCAGTTCAGCCCGTGTGGCTGACAGTCTCCCCGCCAGCGTGTCAGAAAGCTTCAGCACTGTGCTTCACCCTATGTCTGTCTTACTTCCCCCCCAAATTTTGCCAACAGCAGTGTGGCTCTAAACATCTGTTCTTTGGGCTCTGCTCTTTCTGCTGGGTACGGAGGCTAGTGCTGAAACAAAATCATTTGCTGAAAGGGAGCCGCAAGCTAGAAGAGGAAAAAAATGTGATCTGAGTAGTGTAGAGTAAAAGACTTGGGAGTCTGAGACTGAATTTGTGCCCGAGTTTGCTACTCGTTCATGCTGCATGCGTGGGCAAATCTCTTCTGGTCTTGAGAATATACATGATCTGCAGTGCCTGGGTTTGAATTCCTTACTTGTGACCTTTGTGACATTGTTTGCAATGGTACTCGGGGTCTTCTGCTTTCCTCGCCTCAGCAAACCATCCTTAGATCTCTGTGCTTGTGTTGTAGGATGCTTAATGAACCCAGGTGCTCTGATAGCCAGAGAAGGGCAGCAAAAGCCGATGAACCCAGTTTTTGTCATACAGTGATTTTTTTGGCACTACTGAAGTTGTATAAATATACACTGGCTTAAAGAGATGAAAAACCAGCCAGACAAAGAACATAACAACCAGTATGAATATGGAATAATGTTATCTTCTTATTTCCAAACAAAGCTGGCCTATGTTAGATACTGACTTATTTAAAGATGTAGCTGTTGTGTTCCTTGTTCCATTTTTCTCTCTCTGCTGACCAGGCTGCTCTCTCCTTCTCCAAGAGCTCCCAGCTTTTGCAGGGAAAGGGTTGAGGAGAGGATCATGATTAGGAATATTGTCTTGGGGAATTAGAAAAGCAGAAGAATATTGCTGCCAGGAGAGGAGGAGCAGTCTCATGCTGATTATCTAAAAGACCCGCCTAGCATGACCAGGTAACTGCTGTGCATAAATAGCCCTTTGGTGGGAGGAAGCATCATGTTTGCATAGGAAACTGCTCTGACATCTCCCTTGGGGGCTATCAGACAGGCTGCGTGGTAGGATGAGCACAGGACTGGGGCCAACTTCTGCCCAGAGTGACACCCCAGCATGGCAGGCAGTGGCTGTAAGGCAGCCAGAAGCCTCTACCCTGGGAGTTTTATTTTGGGCTTTGCTGGTATTTGCTGAATTGTGAGCATGTCTCTTGCACTCACCCATACCAGAGGCTCTTGGGCACTAGTTTTGTCCCATTCTGAAGTGGCAGATGTCACCAGTGCTTCTGGATTCAGGTGGTGGCTGGAGCCGTGAAGTTCTGACCACAGCGAGCCAGAAACTGAGATCAGGCTTTGGAGGTCAGGGCTGCCACCTGCACCCTCTCTTCTGAGTGCTGATCTGTGCCACGTGTCTCTCTCACGCTTAGCAGAGAGGCAGAGTAGTTACTTATGGCCAGGGGAAATTTGCAGATAAATAAATTACTGTCTGTAAAACACTTTGAAGATGGAAAGCCCTGTGCAGCTCCTCAGGATTATTACTATATAGCTCTTATTCTACTGATGAGGTTCCAGTGGCCTTATTTTCCTTATGATTTGAGACAGGCCCAGAAGCTGAGAAGCTTATTTTAGTGTGTAAAGTCAAAAGAAAAATAGATTAAACTGCATTATTGTTTTCTAAAGAGACTAAATCCCTCCCCCATCATCTTCTCCTGGGATTTCCTGACTTCCTCCTACTCTTCCAATCTCAGCTTCTTGCTGTCCTAATTTAGGATGTGATTTTATAACCATCCATACCCATCTGTGAGTTGCTGTGGTTGTAGAAGTTTATGGTGCTTGGGGGCATGTGAAGTTATTCAACACTGAGGGTGTTGAAAGGTGCGTAGCCCTGAAGTGGATGGAGATAAAACCTGCAGAGCTGGCCCGGGTGCAGGTGTGTAACCACAGCTGCCAGCCTCCAGCCTCCCCCTGCACCAGCCAGAGATGTGACCGCTGAGATCAGACCTCACGTCTGCTGCTTGTCAGCTGAGGAAATAGGTTGTGAGGGGTGAGCTTTGTGCTGGCGTCAATGTGATGTGACCCATCTGCATTGAAGTGCAGAAACGTGTAGAGGAAAGCAGCCCGGTTTGGGTGTGTTGCCGATGGGATTATTGGACCGTTGGTTTTGCTCCTCTGTGTGTATCAAACAGGGCATCGGGGGACACTGGGGATTTGTCTCCTACCCTTCTTATCCATCATGTCCCCTGCTGCAGTAACAGATTTGCATGCTCAGTCTCATACATCTCATACAAGTGACTTCTGCCAGGCTCGTAGCCCCTTTCGGTGCATTTTACTGCCTGCTGCATTTTTTCAGTTCCCATCCTCATCCCAGGACAACTGCTGCAGTGGGTTTTTTATGCAGACATCCCTGTGAGGGTCCGGCAGGCAGTGCAGAATCACTGATGGTATTTTAAAGCAGGCAACAGAGATTCTGGCTACTTGCACTAAATAGGCTGTATGGGTTTAACTAAGCAGAACCATGGGAGTCTGATATCCTGGGCACACAGAAGAGCCCCTGCCAGCTTGAGCACAGCTCTTTGGTGGTGCTAATCGGGTAAACCTC